CAATCTGCGGTATTTTGTTATGGCAGCTGAGATGACTCCGACAGGGAGGTACCGTCACTTGCCAGATGTCTCAGTCTGTTCAGGCTGCTATAAGAAAACACCTCAGACTGGGGAATTTGCACACAATAGAATTGTGTTGCTCACAGTGCTGGAGGCTGGAAGTCCAAGATCAAGGCCGGGCGGTGGCAGCAGATCCAGTCCTCTGGGAGCTGTCTCTCTGCTTCAGGGCGGCTCCTTCTTGCCGCACCCTCGAGGGGCAAAAGGGCAACAAGTGCTCCCTTGGGGCTCTTTATAAGGGCACTGGTCCCATTCACAAGGTCATGTCCTTGTGACTCACCTCCTCAAAGGCCCCACCACTTAATTCAGTTGCGGGGGCAGAAGGAACGTCCTTTCCATCTCTCGAAGTTTCAATAATTTGAATCTATAAAACACAGTGACAGCAGACAGATGAACAGGAGAAAAGGCATATAAAGGTCTTCACAAACTATGACAGGCTCTTCTACAGATACGGTCTCTCCCGTAACAGCCCTTAGCTGAGCAGTTGGAGGAACAGGTGAGCCGTCTGTCTGGGCGTGGCGACTCAGGCGTAGAGACATTTAGTCTCCCCTCCTGGGGTACAAGTTAATCTTCTCTGGTTGATGTAGATTCCATGTCTCTGTGTCTCTTCCTCCCCTACCCTGGTGGAACTCGGTCCTCGCTGGCTCAGATACGCTCTGCACAGGAAAGGATGTCACTGGAAGCTGGCCGGCCACATTCTGGTGGGAAGGAGAGAGGAGGAGACCCTGTGCACCCCAACACCTGCAACCTGCATGAGCTGTCCATGTGAAAAATATTTTTTTTCTTTTCTGTGCCTTAACTGCTATTTTTAAAATAGTGCTTGGATATTAAATGCAATATGTTTTTTATGTTAAGGAAAGTAAAAAAATAGGAGCAAACAATGCACCAACCGAGGCTAACGAGGTTGGCATTTTGGCATAGAGTTTGTTTCCTGTGCTCTCCTTGCTTTGGGGTTGAAGTGCTGGCTTTAGGCCATTGTGTCGTTGTCCTTAGACTGCCCGTGCACAGGGGAACCTCCCTCAGGGCTGTGCACACAGTGCATGAGTTTGCTTTGTATGTTACAAAATATTCTCCTGACTGTAGGTATAATCTTTTAATCAGACAAAGACTGGTCATCGCTCTTTCTGTTTTAAGTGTTCAAAACCACCTGGCACTCCCCAATTCTTCAGCTTAAATTAGCCAAATGCTAATACACATTAGCAATGTGCTAATACACGTCAGCAATGTGTATTGCTTGTGTTCAAAGTAACTGAATAAAATCACAACTCCAGACGGACGGTCCCTGAGGAGTCTGACCACCAGCGGCATGTTTCTTGAGCAACAATGACTACAGCCACAGCAGGGGGTTGGGGTGAGGGAGGGAGGGACGGAGGTCCAATCCCCAGCAATCAGACTACTCGAACCAATTACCGCTCCTACCATACTCATTGGGGTTATAAGAGTTAAAACATTTGTTTATTAGCAGCAGAAATTTCCTAAGCCTTCGACATGTGCGATAGGCATCATTTTGCAACACCTCCCAATGCACATTCCCCTCTGTCTGCAAGCTGCCCCCTACACCCCTTTTATTATTAGGGCTAAACCATGGAAGTCCCAGCCAGGGAGGGATGTGGGGAGCAGCCTGCCAGGATCAGGCGGGAAAGAGGCAGGAGACGGGCCGGGGCAAGAAATCAGAGTCAGCCCCAGCTCCTCCTGTCGTGGTCGAGCTGGTGGCAGAGGTCGGAGGGAGTCAGGGGGAAACTATGTGCAAGGATTTGGGGGAGAGGTGACTGCCACCTCCTGAGGCAGCCACAGGACACTGGAGAAGCCGTGGGGCACTTAGGCAGGGAGTGGGGCTAAGACATCCCTTTGCTCCCTGTCCCCTGTCCTCTTCCCAGGCCTGAGCAAGGCAGAGGAGAGACAGACCACTGGGCTGGGGCACGGTGACCCCTTGGCTGGGTAGCTAGCCTGTGCCCGGGGTTTGTGTGGGTCATGGCTGCAACAGGGTGTCCCTAGCTCCTCAAGAGCCCAGGTGGCACCAGGCCACCAATCTTACCATTTTCTTTTTTTTTTTGAGACAGATATCACTCTGTGCCTGAGTAGAGTGCCATAGCATCAGCCTAGCTCCACTGCAACCTCGAACTCCTGGGCTCAAGCGATCCTCCTGCCTCAGCCTCCTGGAAAGCTGGGACTACAGGCATGCACCACCATGCCCGGCTACC